ATAAAATACAGTCACATTTCAATTATTATACATTATATATGTATATAGATTATTGTTATTTAGAAATAAGTTTTTCTTGAAACATAGAACAGTGAATAAAGAAGTAAAGCAAACAATTATCTCTTCTAGTTACGACCTTTGTACTCGGTTGCTGCTTGATGTAGGTTGCTAAACCTTTAAAAATTTTGCAGGTAGAGGATATGAACAATATATTTTTTTTAGGTTTTATATATACATATGAATAACTAAAAAATCATAAATTACTACATCAATACCATAGAATTCCTCTATAATTTATCAAACTTAGTAACTAAGCTGTATTTGGATCTAAAAAAATATGAAATTTTGAGCAGACTAAAGACACAACCTACTTCATTGAAATCTTGGTTTAAAAGAAAGAAATGATGCTAGGTATGTTAGAAAGGCTTAGAAAACCACTAGGGGGACATTCTGAGCTTCCAATTGGTTATTTATGTTATATATAGAAGTAAGTGTTTATAAGGGAGCATTTTCAAAAATGAAAGGAGGTGAGTGGGGTGCCACTATGTTTTATTTATTACGTGAGCAATATTTTAGCAAATAGAAAAGATAAAAAGTTCTTATTTTACATTCTAGTTTGTCAAAATCTATAATTTGAATTTCTAATTTGTATGAAACTATAGACTAAGTATTATTTTGACTTCACAAACATCTAATTTGAACCAGTGCTGCATTCAACATACCACGTGACACACAAAAATCAATGTTTATCTGTTTTTTAAATATTTACTTTTAAATTAACAAATTGAGTAATGTATAGTTCTAAAATTTGAATTATAATATACAGTTTGATACCAAACTTATTGTCATAAATTCATGAAATAGTAGTTCAATAAAAGTTTTAATGTGAGTCAACAAACGAGATGACATGACCTTTCACCTGTGACCCGTATCGAAAGGGTTAATAATATGATCACAAAAATAACTCTTCTTCGATATTACTGTTACAGGTATCGACCACCGGATGTGTTATTAGGCTCAACAGAATACACTACCTCTATTGACCTGTGGTAAGTGTTTAGATTGTATATTTTTTTGTGTTCCTATAAGTTTGAATTAGATTTGTTTAGAAAATTATTTATATTTTTCTAGTTTTTTCAAACTTTTTTTCTGCATTATTTTAACTTCCATTTAAATGACAAGCTGGTAAGAAATGTCACCACTTGATCCTGTGCCTCGCATTGAAAGTATTAAACTTTTATCAGTATTCATTCAAATGTAGGTTCTCTAAATCAAAATAATTCCTTAATTATTCATGTGCTGTAAAGGTTGAGTGCTACATTCACTTATAACAAGTAGTGGAAATTGTTAATCAATTAATCTTCATGCTCATTAATTGATTACTTACAACTAATCAATTATTCTCACAGGAGACACTTGTTTATAAGTAATAATATTGGTTTAATTTAATTTGAAGGAGTAATTTTAGAATTATTGTAACCGTATTTTACACGCACAGTTTATTTACACTCTGTCACTGTTTATATCTTAGTTTCACACGAATTAATAACTTTGACGATCTGTTATGACTGAGAATTTTCCACTTTTTTTTTCCCAAGTAATTTTTTATAAAGCATTTTTTAGTTCTAAGGATGTGACCTTTTACAGGGGAATGGGATGTATATTTTTTGAAATGGCTAGTGGACGACCCCTCTTTCCTGGGTCTACCGTGGAAGATGAACTTCACCTAATATTTCGAACTCTTGGAACACCGACAGAAAAAACATGGCCCGGACTCACTGATAATGAGGAGTTTCAGAATTTTAAGTTTCCTAAGTATGAGCCTGAGTATCTTTTGAATAGGGTACCAAGACTTGATATGGAAGGACTAGAACTTCTTACCAGATTCTTAAAGGTTAGGCTTATTAAAACCTGAACGACTGTCTATTTCTTTTCCACTAATGACCAACATTAACTATGTTCATTACTGATCTGTGTTGATAGTTTTCTTAGGTCAAAAGTTAATAATAATCATTTGCTTTTTGGCCTATAATTAATATTAATTAATGTTAATTTTGTTTTTCTATTAAGTGAGTTTAATGTCCATTGTAATAAGCCATAATTTTTAGATAGATCATTGTATCCAAGTTTTAAAAAACTTGGTACAAGTTTGTAGTTATATCGTTTGTTAAACTTTCAATTAAATAAAACATGCTTAAAGGCTTTTTCTATCTTGTTTTAACTCAATGGGTTAGAAACACTGAGAAAATTCCATGTCCATGTCAGCGTTGTGAACAATCAGAAAAAAAAATTTCATTCTTCTGAATTGTTTGTTCTTCTTATAAACATCTACTCACTCATTACAATGGAAGGATCTAGAAGATAAGCAGGCCAATCCATAAATAGATCTTGATACTCAGTTCCTTGTCATTAAAGATATAAATAAACAATATTGTTGCTCAGAAATTCTACAAATAATCTATATCTACACTGTCATCTTAAACTCTCAGGATGAAAAAAGTTGAAAGGTAACTTCATACATGATTTGTGAATTTAATTTGAGTGCTTTAAAGTTATATTTATAACATGCACTTAGCAGTTTGAAAATCATTTAAAATTGATTGGTTAATCTCAATATGCTTTAAGTTTTTTAAATAATATTTCATAAAATTTTAAAATTCATTTGGACACTTGTCAGTTTCAGTAAACATCCTATTGTAAGTTACCAATTTTCTGAATGTAATTTTTGTCCTTCTGTAATTAACATTCAACACAAAATGCTTGTTTCTAAAGATACATATTTTTGCTTTTATCAAGCCCGTGTGATGAACCATCTTAACCTAAGCCTACCTTACCCTTTGTATAGTTTGAAACTCAAAATCACCCCGTTTTTCATGCCCCCCACTGCAAAGCAGTGCTGGACACGTAGGTTTGTCCCTGTCCATCTTTCTCAACCTTGTGGATGGGATAACTCGAGATTGGATTTAAGGGGTTTTGATTAGATCTATACAACAGGTAATAATTACAAAGTCCTAGACCTGGTTAAACTTTAAAAGTCACTGGTACATAGAAAATATGCCTCAATTGTGAGAGCATATTTGAAGATTGGATGTTAGCATCCTGATAATGAAGCTATGTAATTTAGGCCTAACAATATATGTTCCTTTTTGTAATTTTTGTCTTACTGTAACTTCTTTTTCCAAACAGTACAACCCAAAGGTACGAGTGTCTGCTGCTGAAGCTATGCGACATTCTTATTTTGAGAGTTTGGGGCCAGGAATTCATAAACTACCTGACAGTGAGTGGATTGTTTCTAGAGTTCTTTTAGTTTGCTTTTCTTTAGAAGGTTGTCTTTCATGAATGAAGAGTTACTTTCAGTAGTTGTTGTTGTAACAACAATAAACATGTGAGATGTATCAAAGTGTTATCTCTAGAATTGTTTTAGGGTCCATTTTTTTATCTTGTCATAAAAAAAGGCATATCTCGGAGAAAACAGTATTTCAGCTTTAGTGAAATATATTTCAAATGTCATCTGGATATATGAAGTATTCCAAACATGATTTAACCGTTGTATTAAAATGTTAATATTTTTATAAGATCATAGCCATGTCAGACACAGTTTTTTTTGCTTTTATGAGATTTTTTTTCAACTTAGTGTAATTTTGTCATTTATTAATATAGTTTTATTGTACCAGTCAAATATAGATTGTCTCATAAGAGTCCTGTTTTTATATATATAAATCTTTAGTACGGAAACGTTTGTAAGAAATCTATTGTATCCATTTAATTGATTTATTGAAATTTAGGTATAAGAGAGAAATACAGAAGTGATTTAAAAGTTAGCTTAATGCATTTGTTTAAAACTTCTCTTTTCTAAATAAGTAGTTGCCAGGAATAAAGATGTGCTCTTTGAAGCACAACAAATGTGAATTTTCATGTACAACAATGAAACGAAACACTATTATTGTGAAAAATAAAATCACGAGTGGAAAAATTGTTTCATTTCCTTTTCAGCTGCTTCCATTTTCACTTTACCAGGAGTTCAACTAAACCGAGATCTTGGTAGTAGAACTGCACCATTCCTTAGTTCAGGTATGTTGGTAGTAGAACTGTACCATTCTGTAGATCAGGTATGTTGGTAGTAGAAGTGCACCATTCTATAGATCAGGTATGTTGGTAGTAGAAGTGCACCATTCTATAGATCAGGTATGTTGGTAGTAGAACTGTACCATTCTATAGATCAGGTATGTTGGTTGTTGAACTGCACCATTCTATAGATCAGGTATGTTGGTAGTAGAAGTGCACCATTCTATAGATCAGGTATGTTGGTAGTAAAACTGCACCATTCTATAGATCAGGTATGTTGGTAGTAGAACTGTACCATTCCTTAGTTCAGGTATGTTGGTAGTAGAACTGTACCATTCTATAGATCAGGTATGTTGGTAGTAGAACTGCACCATTCTGTAGATCAGGTATGTTGGTAGTAGAACTGCACCATTCTGTAGATCAGGTATGTTGGTAGTAGAACTGCACCATTCC